ATAATAAATACAAAAATATAAAAAATTTAGGTTTATTAATACAATTTTACATTAAATTAAAATTTAAAAATATTAGCAAGTTTTTATTCTTTAATTTGACACATTCAAATTATTTCATTTTATTTAAAAGCTGTTGTAATTTTATAAAAAACTTAAGCAAACCTTTGTTAGCATTTTAATAATTCATCATAATTTTTAATTTTCCCATTTTATTTTTCTTATTCTTTATAACAAACACTAAAAAACTTATTTATTGCTGTCCTATTGAACTGCTTTTAAATTTCTTTTTCGTATTAAATATCCATATTATATTAAAAAAAAAATTATTGATATTTTTATCTTTGCTTAATTTTATTTATATATTTTTTATTTAATAATTTTTTAATTTATTTTTAATCCAAAAATAATTGAATAATAAAAAAATTCATTTATTTTTTTAAAAAAAATTTAAAATAACTTAGTTTATAAAAGTATTTTTATAATTTAAATAAAATCAATATATTTTGCATTAATAAAATAAAATAAACTTCACAAAAAAACTATAAACTTCTTATAACAATTAAGAAATAAAAAAAAATGCTATATGCAGAAAATATCATAATAGGAGCAATAAAAATAAAAGATGGCTTATTTATTGGCGATGAATATGCTGCAAAAGTAAAAATAAATAAAACTTTAAAATAAAATCATTTAAAAAAAGGATTAAGAATTTATACTTACAAATAAAGTAACTCATATATTAAATACTTCAGGAAGATAAGTTACAAATATGTGGGAAGGTATAGGAGTTTAATATTTAACATTATATTGGTAAGAATCTGACAAATAAATACTATTTGATCCAAAACAAAATACAATGAATTAAATAGTAAATTTTATAGAAAATGCAAATAAAGAGGGAGAATCATGTTTAGTTCATAGCGTAAAAGGCTAAAGTAGATCGTGTTGTGCTTTAACTGCATATTTTATGGTAAAATATAAATGGAATTTATTCAAAACTTTAGATTATTTAAATTCTAGAAGACCTGATTTAGAAATAAGGGCGAATTTTTTTCATTAGCTAAAAGATTTAGAAACTTATTTATAAAAAATGAAACAGGGAGCATTAAGTTCCGAATGGGATTTGACATAGAATAACAAGGATTTATGCTTTACTAGTGAAGCACATATTCAAGAAGAAATTTTATTAAGAAATACTTATTTAAATTCAAAAAATGCGCCTATAGCTGAATTTTATATAAACCAAAAAAATAATCTTCATTTAGCAAAAAAAAATTAAAAAGTAAGCTGGCTAGATGAAATTAGTAAAAAAAGTGAAATTATAAAAAAATATAAAAGAAAACCTTCACCAGCACCATTTAAAAAAGTTTAATAAAACATAAAAAAAAATAAAAATGAAAATTATGTGGATTCTATTCTTAAAGGTTCAAATAAAGTTTTCCTTAAACATAATTATAATAAATAAAGCTTCAGTAATGACACTAGTTAGAAAACTATTTCTTTTAGATGTGATGATTTATATGATGGAGGTTTTAAAGATATCTAAGTAAATAATAATAATCAAGAAAATATAGATAAAAATTGTCAAAAAATAAACACTTTTAATGGAAACATTATTAATTTAACAGTTAATAATTTTTTAAATGAGAATTATAAAAAATAAGAAATAGATAATTATAAAAAATATGAAATACCATAAAAATAATATATTAATTAATAAGTTTTATCAAAAATTTTAAATAGAAATAATAATTACCATGCAGGTAATAATTATCAAAATAAACTTTCTAAAAGCTTTTAATAATAAAAAACACATACAATGCTTTAAGCAATAATAAACAAGATACAAGTATGTAAATTTAAAAAGAAAGAAAATAAACAAAAATCGAACCAATTAAAGGAAATTAAGAAATTTTGAATAATAATATTGGGTATTTTATTTTTAAAAAAAACAATATTAACTTTTTTTAGGTTGCAATCGTAAAAAAATATTATTCCAATAAATCCTTTAAATAATAATTAAATAAAAAAAACTTTGTAAATTAAACCAAGACCATAATCTTCATATATCAGATCTTTTTCTCCTGGAATGAAAAGTATAGAAATTAATTTATTTTTTTATTTAATTATTCTTATATATAGAAATAAATAATCCTCCTTAATTAATAAAAAAAAATTGTATGAGATATCCTTCACCAATAAATAATAATGCAGAATACATATATTAAGAAAAAGCAAAATGGAAATGATAAAGGAGTATTTTATAGAAATATTTTTTTATATATTAAATTTACAATTTTTTATAAAATAATATTTATTTGAGTGATTATAAACCGAAACTAATTTAATAATATAATAGTTAAATATTTCAATTATTTATTTAAAGTTATTAAATAATACAAAATAATATTATTTGATATTGCAAATAAAAATAGTTATGTATTTTTCTGCAATTCATTTAGTTCCTAATTTAACATTCAATTTTCAAATCATTCTAAATTCATTTCTATAATAATAGGAAATATTTTTTCATTCTCTAAAATGATCAATCAATATTCAACAACGTTAAATAGCGATATTTGGAAACCTTTAAAAAATAAAAAGTATAGTAAAATATGATTTTATATATATATATTTAATATAATATTTTTATTAAAACTAATTTTTATTATCATTAATAATTTGCTAAATATTATTTATAAGTTTTTTATAGTTACCTACTTTTTTTAATAACTTAAGTTAAAATATTCTCTATATTTTATAATTCTCTTTAAACCTAATAATATTCTTTTACTTTAATTAATATTTATTAAATATCTTTATAGATATTTTCACCAATAGATTTTTTAATTATCATATTATAAACAATATTTTTTAGCTTTTAAGAGTAATTTGTAATTTTTATCATTTTCATTACTTTATATATATCTAGAGTATAGTTTTCAAAATTATATAATTTTTTTAGATTTTTTAATGTCATCATTTCTAAAATAAATCTTTCATAAATTAATTAAATATAGGACTTTATTCTTTATTTAAATAAATGCAAACTTAATTTTGCATATTGTTTTTTATTTTTACCGATGTTTTAAATTATTTAGTTAAGATTAAGAAAAATATATTTTATTATTTAAAGATTTAAAGAATTCAAATTTATTTGATAGGAGGAATTTACTTTAAAAACTTTACATTTGTAAGCTTGTATATATTTTTTCTATAAATTAAAATATTTGAAGGCTTTATTATACCATGTATTATATTATTTTATTTAAAAAATTATAAGCAATCGACTAAGTATTTTATAACATTACAAATTTATTTTTCATCAAATCTCTTATTTTCTTTTTTGTATTAATTAATTAGTTATTCTAAATTGTTTACTATATAATCATAAAAATAAAATAATTTTTAAATACTAACCTATTCTTATTCTTAAAATTTCAAAGTGTATCAAAGTACTAAAAAATTATTATAAAGTGACTTTCGTATTTTTAATTATTTCATAAAATTAGTAAATTAATAATTTATTTAAAAACTTAAATGATATAAATGCATTTAATTAATTATTTTTTTAAAAAAATAGTAATTTTATATTAATACACATTTTTACTTAATTAAGTTATTTTTTCATATTTTTATTTCGCCATAAGGTTAATTTTCTATAGTTTAATCAAAGATAAAAATTTATTCTAAAAATGGTTATTAATATGGTTGTTTTTTATATAATTTTTATTATTATTATTATTATTATAATAAATAATAAGAATTTTGAAAATTGTACAATTAACTGTTTATAACGTAATAAAATTAAATAATAAATAAATATTTAATATATAAAATATAATAATATAAATTTAAATTAATTTATAATTAATATTTTTATATTAATAAATTAAAACTGTATTAATTTAATAAAAAAAAACATATTTCAGTGAATATATTATATTAATATTTATATAAATAATCTTAATTAAAAATTGCAAAAAATAAATTAAAAACATAAAAGAAAAAAACTACAATAATTTATTTAAAAAAGTATTAAAAATTAACTTTATTTATTATATTTAAATATAAATTATTAAAAATTTAAAAAAAACAATATTTGTATTATATTTAAGTTATATGAAAAAAAAATATTTAATGAAAATATTTAAAGTTATAATATTAAATTATTTTTATATATATATAATAGAAATTATATTTATTTAATATTTTTTTTTAATTATATTTAATAAATATATATATTTTTTAATTTAATTTTGAAAAAATTAATTTTATTAAGATCATCATCTTTTATTTATATTTTTTTTAAAACATAGTAAAAAATATTATAATCTTTAAAAAACTTTAAACAAAGATAATGGATAATTTATAAATTATAAAAAAAGTAAAAACAAATATATTAAATATATAAATCGAAAAATAAAATTTATTATTTTATATAATATTTAAATTATTATTTATATATTATTAATTAATATAATATGATAACAATAATATCAATTTGAATTAATTATAAATAATATAATATATAAATATCTATTAGATTAGATTAAAAATAAATTATATTTATTATATAAATTAAATTGAGTATTACTAAATCTTTTAATATATTGATTTTTAAAAAGAAATATAATTAACATTTATAAAATATACTGAACTAATTGCAATTAATTATTATTCAAGAAGTAATTGAATAATATATTATAAGCTAATAAAAAAATATAATATCATAATTATCTTAAAAAATTGTTAAAAATATTAGAAATTAATAATTAAAATGGAATAAAATTAATAGATATTATAAATATAAAATAAATTTAATAATATAAGTATTTAATTGTTAAATTAGTTTATAATATATAAAACAATACTATTATTATTATTTATTTGATATATAAAAGAAAAATAAGATAAATAAAAGAATATGTAAAAAAATACAAGAATGATAAAAACAAAAAATTAATTTATTTTTATATGAGTTAAAAATAAAAAAATACAAAAATATTTTATATATATATTTAATTTAATATAATTTTATACCTAATTAAAAAAATAAATAAAATAAAATTAATTTCCTATAAATAAATAAATTTATTAAATGTATTTTTTGTTAATAATTAATAATTATTTATTATAATATAATAAAAATTAATTAAATTAAATTATATTTAATATATTATATATTGTATATTATTTTTTTTCATTTTGTATTTTATTTTTATTTTTATTTTTATTTTTAATTTTGATTTTTATTTCTAATTTTTATTTTTATTTTTATTTTTTATTTTTATTTTTTATTTTTTAATTTTTAATTTTATTTTTTATTTTTATTTTATTTTTTATTTTTATATTAAATATAAATTATTTTTATAAACTTTTTTTTCGTATCTTTTTAATAATTTATNTTTAAATATATTTATAATTATTTTTAATTATTTAATTA